TGATATTAGGAATATGCGAGCTAGGATAAATAAACGTAAGTCTTGTCAAAATAAGCGTGACAGTAGAATAGAAATAGGCAGTTCACAAGATCTGCTTCATCGACTGAGGCAGACAGGTCCAGTTAGTGTTCTGCATGACAATGCAGGTTTCGTATCGGAAGTTATTTTCGCTCGTAATGATATGATAGACCTCTATCATAAGTTCCCAGAAGTACTTGGAATTGATTATGCTCATAAAACGAATAAGATGGAGTAAGTGGCAGTACAAGGTATACTTTCTCCTCTAAATTTACTGCAGATGTCTTTTATATCAGTTTTTGTGACTGATGGATTTGGAAGAGGAAGGACTGTTTCATTTGCTCTTACTAGGAGGGAAAGGTTTGCAGATATCAAGGAGATCTTGCAAATGTTTAAGAGATTTATGAGTGAGACATCCAAAACAGTAACATCCCCCGTCGACCATACAACTGCACAGATGAATGCTTTGAAGGAGGAATTCCCTAGATGCAGCATTGTTTTATGTCTTTTCCATGTATGCCAGGCGTTCAGAAAGTTGTCGTAGACTTGCGAAGGCGCTTCCTCTTCTTCCATTCAATATCCTCCACTTCAGTTAATTACTCAGAAGGTAGTCACACCTTCTTCGTAAACAGGAATGAGACTAAATGCACATGTTGGACATACTGCGCATATAGTTTGCCATGTACGCATGTCGTTGCGTCTTTCTTGGATTCATGTCTAAACTGTGGTATGCTCCCTTTCCTAAATGTTACTCTTAGATATTCTGACAAATAGCAACAGGTGGTCACGTCAGCATAACACTAAGGACACCATTCCGCGTGCCACCCACTTAACACCGCAACCAAACAACATATTCCGGAATGCTTATGGATGGTCAAGATGTCGCGTCGTCAGCTTGAACCAACGAAATCCCGATGTTGCACTGCGGGGAATAGCAGAGTTCACCAGAAGGTTGGATAGTTTGCTAATAAATGAACCGCAAACAACGTTACGAATACGACGTGCCCCTGTTAATCGCTTAGTTTTGTGAAAATGTTAGTATCACCTTATTGTTTCCATATGTATTCATAATATAAACATGTACGTCTAAATTGCTGTTTTATCAGACGAAGATTACTGGTTCATAGCATATCCTGAGTAACGGTGACTAATAGGATCCATCACGTATACGTAGCAACGCTTAAAGGCTCAACCTTACAACAATTCTAAACTAATTCTAACCTACGCGTCGATAATGCCGGCCTTTTTACGGTGAGTGAGCATTTTGTCTACCTGAAATGAATGAGCCCAGTATGTACTGGTCGTTCTTATAAAGGAGCACTGGACGCTGAATCTGGGCTAAGAGGTTGATAAGCTACTTCTCAAAATGCGTAGAAGAAGAACAGGGTGCTGAATCAGTGCCAGTCATGCTGATAAACCAGCACACAGTTCCGGTTTGTGCAAATAATCAAACAATTCCAGAGTCTACTCACTATCGAATGTTGCAGTTAGTTCAGAATTAGCGAGATTTAATTCGGCATTATAGTAAATTTGGGAGACTGCAATTAAATTTCATTTTGTGCTATGAACAGTATACTATCTTAGCCTAGTATGCGTGAATAAGCTCAGTGATTGCTGCTTTACCATAACCCTTAACTACCAACATAATAACTGTGAACTCCAGACTAAAAATATACCGTCTTTCATTTCAAACGCCATTTTGCTGTTTGATTAAGTTCGCACATCTCAGGAGCATTTTATTAGGCTGTCTGTGTAACTGAATATACATACTATTACAGCACAGGAAAGACATGACATTTCAGTGGATTTATTTGCTAGATTCAGTGAATTTCTTCTATACCAAAGTATAAGGACGCTCTCTGCAGAAGTGTCAAGAATGCCTTCGACATCCCGAAGAGGTGATAACTTCATGCAACTGCAGTTATCGGTTGACTGTTATCTTCAGCAAGCCTTAAGTTATCATGAAATACTCAGCAGCTGGATAATCCTGATGAGAACAACACTGTTGATGCAGCATATAAGTACCTATGTATTGTCACGCAAATCAGAAAGCAGACATCAAAGAAGGTCATAGCGAGTAATGTAACACATGTAGGCTTCATGTTTTTAGTCGAAATACATTAAGTCTCTACTTACTCTTAGAATAAATCTTGAGTTCAGTTGGAATAAACCAGTTGACGCCGTCAGTATTGCGAGATTACACCAGTGAGAGTAAGTAAACGCTTTCTTTAGAAGGTTAATTAATGGATTTCACTGATATCATTGTATTACTAGTAGCCGCATAAGTTAATAGTGAATTCGTTGAGATAATACCTATTATTTTTGTTATTATAGTCCTTATGAACATGAACGCTGTTGTGTTTATTGCTATTGTTGTTGCAGTTAATACTCTCATTATTTGTTGTTGTAAAGCCCTTGTCATTTGTATTAAAATCATTATTCAAGCCTTGAAAATTACTGCATAACTTATTACTAAGTGATTTTAACATATCATGATGCTTCGATGCACCTACTAGATGTCAACCGACGATAAATTGTGAAGTCTCTTAAGTTCAATGAAAATTATGCAGCTACCTCTATATACTGTTTGTAAAATGATTACTTGTAAATGCTTGTCAGGCAGTCATCTGGAAGATTTTCTATTCACATCATACATGTACCACCCAAGTTAATAGTGCTTTTCTTGAACCTTTTCAGACTTATGGAGAAACATATATGCACTGTACACGCAGATGGAAGCTGCTGACAGTGACAGAGGACTACTCGTCAGAATTATCTGTTCATCTGAAATCTCATTTTTGTCTAGTAAACACTTTTTCATTCAACCTGTGTTCCTTCTGTTATAATGCGATTGTGTTCCAGTAACATCGGTGATGCGTGCTAGGGTAGGAATTAAGGGTTAACTAGTAGGGATAAATGCGGTGTCTGGGAAACTTTTGTTGATGCCATTAGATGAACAGTTAGTAAGGTACCGTGTTCTGTGGCTGCAAACCGTAGTCATTCTATTTTCAATTATTATTATTATTATTGCTATTATTATTATAACCTTAGTTGCATTGAGTCATATTGTGGTGATGTGATACAGACAGTGTGTGACAACGGAATATGATTCTCATATATTCCCACAGTTCAATACGGCATCACCAACAGAATACGATATATCTATTTGAACATTCTCTTTGTTGCTAGAGTTAGAATAGAATATTATTCTCACAGGTCAATACTGAGTTAGCAACAGAGTACCACATATATATATATATGGACATTCTATGTCATGTCGTTTAATGTAAACCAAAATCACACGTTCAGTGACTGCAACGGTTTGATTAATGAAAAATATACCCTGGCTTCCGTGTCTTGTCTTCTGTTGTTAAAATATGTCTTAAAGTATGGGTACAGTCTTCTCCTCATGCGACATTAGGACACGTGGAAATACCAAGCACACTATCTCAGGTAGATTTAGTTTCACTTTGTGACTATGAATCGCGAATCAGTCGATGTGTTCGAAACTCGAAACGCTTCATAACCTCAATACCTCCTCCTCTGACATTTGGACATATTTGCTTTATTTGACTACAACCTAGTCTTTTTACCAATAACCAATAGGCTTCTCCGAATATCCACGCTTACTTAGTATTTCAAAGATAGCCTCATATACTCTGTGCTTCACAACTTCCGAAAACGTTAATATTCAGTCTTATCAAGTAGAATATACAAACGAATAACGAGGAATACATTTATTAATGAATCAACATTGTAATACAAAATCAATGACAATGTGGAAATCTTTCTCATCAGCACCCAACTCCATGAAATCCCCGAAATTAGCTATCACCTGAAAAAGGAAATAAGCAATCAAAAGATGTAGACATTGTTACCACCATAAATACAAAAATTAATTGCTAGGAAATACTGAATATTGTCTTCAAGTGTGTATCATCACGTCAGTCAATATTTCTCAAGCAGACGAAATCGACATTCGATCTGCCTGTAAACACCAAGTCTATGCCGTGAAACAAGTAAGTACTATGTGTAAATAATTCCTGAGTATTTCTGTAGATTTCCTCTAAAGAGATGCATGTTCAGGAGCCTTGAGACGACCACCAAAGGCAGACAACAAAGCAAGTGAAAATAATTAACAAAACGAACCAGCCTACCTCATCATATCGATGTTTAATCCTTTGAAATGCAAAACGAAACATCACTAGAAGTCGTTATAACCAGTGTCTTTAAGTAACTTGGCATTTTCTCAACAAAACAGTACGTATTTCAACCATTTGTAAACTGACCGTCAATTGCAGTCGGCAAAGGACACCATCTTTTGCTATTTATGCTAAAACCGCTTCATTTCATCTACTTTTAGCAGGAATACAGGCATAAAAGCGTGTAACACAACGAATACTTACCAAATTTTGACGTTTCTTCAATAAATGCAGTCTCCAGGCATCAGCTGATCAAATGACCTACGGCCGTATACAGGCTGCCGTAAGAAGAAAGAACAGCTCGATGAGGAACACCAGCTAGAGTGAGTGAGTAAGTAAGTGAAGCAGTGAAGCAATCCCCATTGTAAACAGTGTACTGCTTCGTATCAGAAAAATATAAACGCGAACATATGTATCATTGATATAAGTATAAAACTTGGGCACTGTGGTGGAGTATAACTCCATTACAGATAAGATTCTTTTTGATAAATCGCACAGTCTTGTACAGTAGTATTTACTGATGACGTTTCGAGCACAGATTATTGCTCATAATCATATCAAAAAAGTGGTTTGAGTGACTTGATAGGATTATGAGTGATAATTTGTGCTCCAAAACGTCATCAGTAAATACTACTGTACAACACTGTGCGATTTATCAAAGTAAAATCTTATCCACAATGGAGAAATGCAACCAATTAGTAATCCAACACTGTGCTTGTCACATAGTAAGCTCGTTTAACTAAATAGGCCTTGGTACAGAGTCAAAGGCAGATGTGTAATCTAGGAAGGCACACCGAACACATATCTGGCACCTCTGTCGAAACTAGAGACAATATTATGATATAAGATGACAGTGGTATCTAAAGTACACCTACTGTGTTTATCAGCAAATTGATTAGGGTTGTTAAAAGCCTTCAATGAAGGTTCAAGGTTGAGTGAAAGCAGTCCTTCCATTAATTTGAAAAACGGTGAAGTGATGGCAATAGGTCTAAGCTTAACGTTCGGTCTACTTAATGATTTAGACACAGGAATAATTTCAATGTCCTTCCAAGAAGCAGGCACAGTGTTACTGGAAAACGATTCATTGAAAATACCAGTGAAAGGAGAACATAAAATGTCAGCACGTCTTCGAGTTGTTGGATACAACATGTGTTACTTGTATTTAACCAAGATCAGCTGTACAGAATAACAATAATAATAATAGCATATATATATGAATATATTTAAACTGTGACTGTAGGCACAATTTCTATGTTGGTTTCGTCACAAACCAGCATGAGTTAGAGGTAATTTGGTTGGTGGCTGGTGACTAGTAGTGGAATCCAGGATGTGCATTTGTTCCTATTTGAGACATATCATTGGGATGTACTTGCATTCACAGTGAGTGGTGGTGTTCACACTAACACTCGAACCCAGTTCCCATCGTTTCAAACGCCAAAATTTATTCACTAAACTTCTCCGGCCAAAATTCAATTAAAAACGAATAACAACTGATACTCGTTGCACAAGACTTGGTTCTCATGGCCAAAGTCATCTAGTAGTTAATACTTAGGCGTTTGAAACGATGGGATGGTGGTGTCGGTGGCACAGCGGTTAGGACGCTCGCCGACCATGCACATAGTCCGGGGTTCGATCCTCGGCCGACGCACACCCGATAACTATGGTCGGCCTGCAAAATTTGGGCTACCGATATCCATGCTGAAAATTCCATACTTGTACTGAAAATACGGTGTGGCATCAGGCTGTAACTAAAAATAACATTTTAAAAATGGGTACTGGGTTCGAGTTCCAGTGGGGACACTATCACTCACTGGGGAATGCAGCCACACCCAGATGATCAGTCTCAAATAACACGGAATGCATATTTTTCACTTCACTGCTAATCACCATCACCACCAAATTACTTCAAGTTAGTCCTCAGTCATCGTCGATACGTCAACACAAGCCCAAAAATTTGCGCCTAATCAATCAACAGGAAAATCAAAGTTGAATTAAAAACAAATAATCAGTTAGGGATCTTTGAAAAAACAAACGCGATAGCACTGGGCATCTCTTTTGTCCTACTTTCGGTTTGTTTAGTAGCGGGCGCACCCACGACCCAACCAGACATCCACACCGGACCTTTAGGCTACGAGACCAAAGCCGTTCACCATTCACACACTTGGACAGCAATTCAGTGGGACGTGAATTTTAAGTTGATTTCCGTGAATCATCTCCAACTAATATCGCTTCGTAATGAAATCAACATTGAAATTAATCCAGAAAGGCCATCATTTTTATAACTGTGTAAGTTAGACGTAATTTCATTGGCATGGTTACTTATCGATATGGTTTATCGTAGTAAATTTTTAACACTTCATTTTGAAGAGTAGTAACATTTTTACTGACTGAATATCAGCAGCCTAAATAAAAAGATGCAAATTTATTAGCCTAGCCTGTGAAGAATCTGTGCACATAGACTATTGTCCATTGTATCACGTTACACTTACTACTGCACTCGGTTTCAGTCCTTCTCTATAGATTGAGCTACAAGGAAAGTATTTAATTTTATTCACGAATATTTATCAAAAACTAGATAGCTACGTTGATCACCACTTGATAACCTTTCCATGCGCAAGAGCCAGTCTTACAAGGAATCACTTGTCACCTCACTCCTAGTATTTTTTCTCACTTGGCAGTGAAAAGAAGTGAATGTCTGTCTTGAAGTATATCTAAGCTCTATTACTGCTTGGCATAGACTAAGACTGTGGAAATTATAATGTTCAAAGTAAGTAGGTTTTCTAATTTCACACATTATTTTGAAACCCGTATTATTTCTGTGCTTTGTGAAAGGTGTCTATCACCTAAATAACGGTCAATAAAATATACAATTTTTCGTCAATTACAGCCATTTCGTTCAGATTGGTGTTTTTGTGCTTCAAGTCATATACATAAACAAATTTCGAAACAGCCAGCTTGGTATCGTTCAGTGGACACACACATCTATTACCTCGGAATGCATCACGACATGTTCGTAAAGTGATTTTAGACGTTCCAAATCGTTTACTATTGACGGGATCTGAAATCGATTCCAGCATTGAGAATGAATCAGATATGTTTGGGTGAATTAATCCCATCTAAGTTAACCGACAGTACGATTGAGTATACACGTCTACCCACGTCTTGAGAAACTACAGCTTGAAATGAATGCTAAAAATAATTTACAAGTTGGTGATATCCATCAGCGTACAGTTGGTCCTATCGAATCAAAAGTGGTTTGTGGAAATAATCAAACAGAGACATCTATCATGCCATTCGATTCCAAGCAAGTTTCAGTGGATGATAGTAGTAGTAGTGACACTAACAGTAATGCATCAACTCTACCAATTCATTTCAGTTATAGGATTTCAAGACGTTCATGTGAATGGCTAACTGAAAAAGCTCTTGAAATACTTACCACTTGTTCATTTACAACTGTTCAGTCCCCTTTGACAAGTCAAGTGCACAACAGTTTTACTCTAAATATAATGTATCAAAAACGAAAACCCGACCGATAGTTGCTACCTTGACGTAGTGGTCGGGCTTGCACATCGCAATGACCCAACAACCTCCACTGACTGGAAGCATTGTTCCTGCAGGTCCTACCATGCCAGGAAGGTGTTCCCTATTCATCAGGATAGTGAGTCATCTTCACTTTACTCCATGACCACAAACAACGATGAGAGCCATAGAAACACCACCGACAGCCTCTTAAAGCCACCTCACCAACTCCACATAGGACCAATCAACGTCACAATCCTCTGCCAAATCGGACAACAGGCATCACCAGAAAGAACTCTGGTATCTCGAGCCATGGACGTATGTTGTGTTTTGGAGACACGCAATACAAGACCCGAGTGTGTACTGTCGATGATTAACAAACTAACTCTCCAGTACTCCCTGGTTTTCGATGCTTCTCCAACTGACATCAATCCCTGGTCAAACTCCTATATTTCTTACTCTTTGAAAGTAATATAGTGTACAAAAGCTGCAATTGTCACTGAACATCTTTAGTATTGCTGCACATTTCCGTTTGTAAAGAAAGAAACATCCATATGAGTATAAAACTTGGACACTGTGGTACAGTACAGTACAGTACAGTACAGTAATATTAACTGATAATATATTACTGTACAACACTGTGTGATTTATCAAAATAAAATCTTATCCATAATGGAGAAAGAAACATCCAATTAGTCCTTCCCTCTAACGACGTCAATATATGGTTTTTCCGGTTCGAGATGGCCAGACTAATTCTTTTACTTAGTGATCAGCATCGAATAAATGTTGTCAAACCAAAACTGAGCTTCTATCACTTTTTTTCTTTTTTATGGACAAGGTTGTTAAAAGTGAATTGGTTTGGACACATATAATAAAGAGAGCAACTATTGAACTCCATCAAACTCCTGTGTTGTGTAAGCTTCATGTTTCCAAACTATGCATGACTATCGAAACGGACTTCTACAGTAAACATGTTTCTGCAAGTAACTTCCTTACTCTCCCTCAGAAAATACGTGTATATAACTATCGATATTGAAGTTAAGCGCATCACTTTATAGGGTAGAAAATATCCATTTATTCACGAAAATAAAAGACAGTGCAGCGAAGAGAATTTGCTTTATTGACGAAATCATCTTCGAAGGATGTACAATCGTATTTACATCTACCAAGAACGTAGTCTATCACTGAGTAGCACGGGAGTCGGGGTGATATAACTGGTACAAACATAAATTAAGAAGTGATTACTACAGAAATTACGCAATAGCCAACGGCACAATGCACGTCACGGCTTGAAATTTGACAAGGTGAAAACTGTTACTCAGTGAAAAGTAAGGTAGTTGGTTGTCCATTTTACAAGTGCTAAGAGAGTGAGAAAAAAATCAGGAAATTATGCAAAAGGAACATGTGATAGTGACTAGTTTGAAGCGAACAAGTAGTGAGGGGATTAAGACCATGGTAGAAAAAGAGGCCAAACAAAACCCTCTCTGCACACACACAGTTCGAAGTTGTATAACGAATCGCTAGCGCCTCCGCGGTTTATCTAGGAAATGTTGGCTAAACTGTAAACTTGAAACATCTAAGTTGGAACACTGACTGATGTTGTCACGAAGTGGAGTTAGTCACAGTCACCATCGGACCACATTATTTCGTACTCCTTATTAGGCACACCTACAACAGAACCCAATCGTCTCACTTTGTAATGCGTGCGAAAAATGCCAATAACATCTCGTTCCATTGTCAATATCACTCTTTGTTTGGCCTTTTTGGTTTCAGTTCAACCAGCACAAATGTACATATGTATGAACCCTTTCGAAAGTCAGCTGATGGTTCTAGTACTCCTGCGTCTCATGGCATATGTTGAACCTACTCTCAGCCAACTTACAAACAATGAATGTGTTGCTCACTTCTTACAGTCAATGCATCGACCAACTCCAATAATATTCATCAATAAGATTATTATTAATCGGGCAATGAGATTGTGTAGTGTAGAATCTGATGACGATTCGCTACCAAGGGGCTAAATATTGTATTCACGGGACTCCGACTGTTTTACTTTCATTCTTACGTAAACCCTATCACCAACTACAAGTTTCCCATTCGTTGTATTAAATCGACAAAACCCCATGGTTCGCATAATCTCCGCCTCCTCCTCTGTCTCCGGTTCTGCTGGTCTTTCTGAAAAATAAAGCGGTTATATAACGAAAATCGATTACCTTCCACATACACCACCGCCTCTGTCTCCCTCTCACTTGAACGACTCCTAGGACGTGAACAACGCCTCCACCTTTCTTCGCTCTGATTCAGTCCATGTCTTCTCCGACCATATCGATCTCTCTCCTCTCCATCGTCTTCATGCCGATCTCCATACACATCTCTTCCGCAGTAATCAGGATAGTAGTGGCCATCCCAATGTTCCCTTGAAAGCTCATATGTAACACTACGAGCTCCATATCCGTAGTGCAAACTTGAGCGGGGACGTCTCTCGTAGTCTGTAAAAGTAAGGGAAGTTATGAATATGGTATATTATCAACAGAATCTCGCGGTAATGCGCAGTGACTAAACCTCACATTCTCATATCACGTTGGAGGTAATAAGGTGTTTTAGGATACAATCTCTTAGCGGTAGATTGAAATAAATAATTAGTCAGCCTGTTAAATCACTCAAGCTTGTGGTCAAGTATGCTCCAGTCCGGCAAAGTACACAGCTCGGACTAGCTACCAGTGTCTTCGTTAACTGATGTCTCGTCTTGGGTTCGGCAACTTTCTCTCATTCAGTTCATATTTCACCCTCCTCGATTAAAGCAAGTTGATTAGGTAGCTATGTTCTGTAACACATCCTCCAATCACATACAACATCTTCCTTCTTTAGGAAGAAGTGACCATGCTGTGCTCACTTTCAAGTTCACAGCAACGGAGGCAACGGCCAAAACCCCAGCTCGACCAAACGTTTGGAAAGCTGATATAAATGCAATCGTCTCAGCAGCCAACTCAGTAAACTGGTACATCAACCCAGAGTCTCAAGTAGAAGCCGCATGGAACCAATTTAAACAACTTTACGCCCAAGTAACTGAACCTTTCATCCCTTGGTCTGTCCCAAAGGGTCGGAAACATTGCCCCCCTTGGATAAACCGAGAGATTCGTAAGTTACTCAGACGTAAACGCAAATGTTGGAACTTGTTTGCCACACTTAAGACTTCTGACACCAGGCAATTATATAACACTGCTAGAAATAGAGCTATTGCAGAAATCCACCAATCAACGATGAAGTTCGAAGCACACCTGGCTCAAAATGCAAAGGCACAACCTAAGAAAATTTTCTCGTACATGAACTTCAGGAATAAAACATCCAATGGTGTCCCAAACCTGACTATTGACAATGATACAATCGAAGAAGATCAAGAAAAAGTAGAAGCAATGGCAAACTACTTCTCCCAAGTCTTCACTCAGGAGTCATCACTGCCTATAGGATCAGCTCTGGCTGCATCAGAAGAACATGGGATAGATTCCGTTGACATCAACCAAGGCATCGTGCTCAACTGCCTAAGGAAACTAGATGCAGGGAAATCAATGGGTCCTGATAATCTTCATCCAAGGCTTCTCAAGGAGCTATCAGCCCACATAGCCGGCCCTTTGACTACGATCTTCAAGCTTTCTCTCCTAAATGGAGTGTTACCGTGTGACTGGAAAGACGCCATAGTAACCCTCATCCACAAAGGAGGATCAAGACAAAGCCCTTCAAATTACAGGCCTATCAGTCTCACCAGCACTTTAATCAAGACACTGAATAGAATCATCGAGAAAAGCATTATGGCATATCTAGAAAATAGAAGCTTATTATCTAGAGCACAGCATGGCTTCCGAAGGAACCTTTCATGCCTGTCAAATCTTCTCACTGCAAGAGAAAGCTGGGTCAAATCCAGGGACAACAGAAGACCCATTGACGTCGTCTTCATAGACTTCAGCAAAGCCTTTGATAAAGTACTTCACAAAAGACTACTCATGAAGTTGGAAAGTCTTGGTATCAAAGGCAGCTTACTAAACTGGCTCAGGGAATTCCTCATAGATAGGAGGCAGAGGGTTAGGATCAACTCGAAACTCTCCTCTTGGACAGCAGTACGCAGCGGAGTGCCACAAGGCACGGTACTCGGACCTCTCCTATTTATTTTGTATATCAATGGGTTATCTCTGCTCACCGACTCCCCTATGGTCCTATACGCAGATGACTTAAAAATTTGGAGAGAGCTGAAGGGCAACAGTGACACGTCCACGTTGCAAGAGGACCTCAACAAATTGTCAGAGTGGTCCATAGAATGGATGCTCCCGATCAATGTGGCAAAATGCGCAACCATGCGCATTGGACAAGCAAGCACGAACTCCTACGAACTAGAGGGAATAACACTCCCATCAGTTCAGACTCACTTGGACTTATGTGTCATAGTTAGCCACGACTTAAAAACCACAGCACACTGCCGCGCGGTGGCTGCACGTAGTTTCACGTCATTATGGGCAATTCGAAGAGCCTTCACTAGAATCACCAGAGATATGTTCACCTCCTTATATACATCTCTGGTGAGGTCAAGACTGGAAAACTGCATCCAGGCCGCCAGCCCTTGTCTAAAAGGGAACTCGCACATTCTAGAAAGGGTTCAAAGGAAGGCAACACGTATGGTTCCCGGAATGACTAATTTATCATACGAATAAAGACTAGACAGTTTAAATCTCTTCTCCTTGTCATACCGTAGGCAGAGAGGAGATTTAATCACAATGTTTAAAATTTTAAATAATGACTACGGACCTGACCTATTTTCTCTTTTCCTTCCCACCAGGTCGGAACACCTTACAGGACATAGCAGGAGAGTTCAAAAGCCAAGAAGAAATCATATTGCTGTTGAGTAATGGTTCTCACATCGAGTCATAAACTCTTGGAACCGACTCCCAGAAGAAGTGGTGTCTGCAACCTCAACTGATTCGTTCAAGAAGGGTTTGCACAACCACAGAAATTTACTAGAAAAGGATTAACATAGGCTCCAAGCCTTCTATCCTCAACCAATACATCTGAATCTGAATATAACGAAAATCGATTACCTTCCACATACACCACCGCCTCTGTCTCCCTCTCACTTGAACGACTCCTAGGACGTGAACAACGCCTCCACCTTTCTTCGCTCTGATTCAGTCCATGTCTTCTCCGACCATATCGATCTCTCTCCTCTCCATCGTCTTCATGCCGATCTCCATACACATCTCTTCCGCAGTAATCAGGATAGTAGTGGCCATCCCAATGTTCCCTTGAAAGCTCATATGTAACACTACGAGCTCCATATCCGTAGTGCAAACTTGAGCGGGGACGTCTCTCGTAGTCTGTAAAAGTAAGGGAAGTTATGAATATGGTATATTATCAACAGAATCTCGCGGTAATGCGCAGTGACTAAACCTCACATTCTCATATCACGTTGGAGGTAATAAGGTGTTTTAGGATACAATCTCTTAGCGGTAGATTGAAATAAATAATTAGTCAGCCTGTTAAATCACTCAAGCTTGTGGTCAAGTATGCTCCAGTCCGGCAAAGTACACAGCTCGGACTAGCTACCAGTGTCTTCGTTAACTGATGTCTCGTCTTGGGTTCGGCAACTTTCTCTCATTCAGTTCATATTTCACCCTCCTCGATTAAAGCAAGTTGATTAGGTAGCTATGTTCTGTAACACATCCTCCAATCACATACAACATCTTCCTTCTTTAGGAAGAAGTGACCATGCTGTGCTCACTTTCAAGTTCACAGCAACGGAGGCAACGGCCAAAACCCCAGCTCGACCAAACGTTTGGAAAGCTGATATAAATGCAATCGTCTCAGCAGCCAACTCAGTAAACTGGTACATCAACCCAGAGTCTCAAGTAGAAGCCGCATGGAACCAATTTAAACAACTTTACGCCCAAGTAACTGAACCTTTCATCCCTTGGTCTGTCCCAAAGGGTCGGAAACATTGCCCCCCTTGGATAAACCGAGAGATTCGTAAGTTACTCAGACGTAAACGCAAATGTTGGAACTTGTTTGCCACACTTAAGACTTCTGACACCAGGCAATTATATAACACTGCTAGAAATAGAGCTATTGCAGAAATCCACCAATCAACGATGAAGTTCGAAGCACACCTGGCTCAAAATGCAAAGGCACAACCTAAGAAAATTTTCTCGTACATGAACTTCAGGAATAAAACATCCAATGGTGTCCCAAACCTGACTATTGACAATGATACAATCGAAGAAGATCAAGAAAAAGTAGAAGCAATGGCAAACTACTTCTCCCAAGTCTTCACTCAGGAGTCATCACTGCCTATAGGATCAGCTCTGGCTGCATCAGAAGAACATGGGATAGATTCCGTTGACATCAACCAAGGCATCGTGCTCAACTGCCTAAGGAAACTAGATGCAGGGAAATCAATGGGTCCTGATAATCTTCATCCAAGGCTTCTCAAGGAGCTATCAGCCCACATAGCCGGCCCTTTGACTACGATCTTCAAGCTTTCTCTCCTAAATGGAGTGTTACCGTGTGACTGGAAAGACGCCATAGTAACCCTCATCCACAAAGGAGGATCAAGACAAAGCCCTTCAAATTACAGGCCTATCAGTCTCACCAGCACTTTAATCAAGACACTGAATAGAATCATCGAGAAAAGCATTATGGCATATCTAGAAAATAGAAGCTTATTATCTAGAGCACAGCATGGCTTCCGAAGGAACCTTTCATGCCTGTCAAATCTTCTCACTGCAAGAGAAAGCTGGGTCAAATCCAGGGACAACAGAAGACCCATTGACGCCGTCTTCATAGACTTCAGCAAAGCCTTTGATAAAGTACTTCACAAAAGACTACTCATGAAGTTGGAAAGTCTTGGTATCAAAGGCAGCTTACTAAACTGGCTCAGGGAATTCCTCATAGATAGGAGGCAGAGGGTTAGGATCAACTCGAAACTCTCCTCTTGGACAGCAGTACGCAGCGGAGTGCCACAAGGCACGGTACTCGGACCTCTCCTATTTATTTTGTATATCAATGGGTTATCTCTGCTCACCGACTCCCCTATGGTCCTATACGCAGATGACTTAAAAATTTGGAGAGAGCTGAAGGGCAACAGTGACACGTCCACGTTGCAAGAGGACCTCAACAAATTGTCAGAGTGGTCCATAGAATGGATGCTCCCGATCAATGTGGCAAAATGCGCATTGGACAAGCAAGCACGAACTCCTACGAACTAGAGGGAATAACACTCCCATCAGTTCAGACTCACTTGGACTTATGTGTCATAGTTAGCCACGACTTAAAAACCACAGCACACTGCCGCGCGGTGGCTGCACGTAGTTTCACGTCATTATGGGCAATTCGAAGAGCCTTCACTAGAATCACCAGAGATATGTTCACCTCCTTATATACATCTCTGGTGAGGTCAAGACTGGAAAACTGCATCCAGGCCGCCAGCCCTTGTCTAAAAGGGAACTCGCACATTCTAGAAAGGGTTCAAAGGAAGGCAACACGTATGGTTCCCGGAATGACTAATTTATCATACGAATAAAGACTAGACAGTTTAAATCTCTTCTCCTTGTCATACCGTAGGCAGAGAGGAGATTTAATCACAATGTTTAAAATTTTAAATAATGACTACGGACCTGACCTATTTTCTCTTTTCCTTCCCACCAGGTCGGAACACCTTACAGGACATAGCAGGAGAGTTCAAAAGCCAAGAAGAAATCATATTGCTGTTGAGTAATGGTTCTCACATCGAGTCATAAACTCTTGGAACCGACTCCCAGAAGAAGTGGTGTCTGCAACCTCAACTGATTCGTTCAAGAAGGGTTTGCACAACCACAGAAATTTACTAGAAAAGGATTAACATAGGCTCCAAGCCTTCTATCCTCAACCAATACATCTGAATCTGAATATAACGAAAATCGATTACCTTCCACATACACCACCGCCTCTGTCTCCCTCTCACTTGAACGACTCCTAGGACGTGAACAACGCCTCCACCTTTCTTCGCTCTGATTCAGTCCATGTCTTCTCCGACCATATCGATCTCTCTCCTCTCCATCGTCTTCATGCCGATCTCCATACACATCTCTTCCGCAGTAATCAGGATAGTAGTGGCCATCCCAATGTTCCCTTGAAAGCTCATATGTAACACTACGAGCTCCATATCCGTAGTGCAAACTTGAGCGGGGACGTCTCTCGTAGTCTGTAAAAGTAAGGGAAGTTATGAATATGGTATATTATCAACAGAATCTCGCGGTAATGCGCAGTGACTAAACCTCACATTCTCATATCACGTTGGAGGTAATAAGGTGTTTTAGGATACAATCTCTTAGCGGTAGATTGAAATAAATAATTAGTCAGCCTGTTAAATCACTCAAGCTTGTGGTCAAGTATGCTCCAGTCCGGCAAAGTACACAGCTCGGACTAGCTACCAGTGTCTTCGTTAACTGATGTCTCGTCTTGGGTTCGGCAACTTTCTCTCATTCAGTTCATATTTCACCCTCCTCGATTAAAGCAAGTTGATTAGGTAGCTATGTTCTGTAACACATCCTCCAATCACATACAACATCTTCCTTCTTTAGGAAGAAGTGACCATGCTGTGCTCACTTTCAAGTTCACAGCAACGGAGGCAACGGCCAAAACCCCAGCTCGACCAAACGTTTGGAAAGCTGATATAAATGCAATCGTCTCAGCAGCCAACTCAGTAAACTGGTACATCAACCCAGAGTCTCAAGTAGAAGCCGCATGGAACCAATTTAAACAACTTTACGCCCAAGTAACTGAACCTTTCATCCCTTGGTCTGTCCCAAAGGGTCGGAAACATTGCCCCCCTTGGATAAACCGAGAGATTCGTAAGTTACTCAGACGTAAACGCAAATGTTGGAACTTGTTTGCCACACTTAAGACTTCTGACACCAGGCAATTATATAACACTGCTAGAAATAGAGCTATTGCAGAAATCCACCAATCAACGATGAAGTTCGAAGCACACCTGGCTCAAAATGCAAAGGCACAACCTAAGAAAATTTTCTCGTACATGAACTTCAGGAATAAAACATCCAATGGTGTCCCAAACCTGACTATTGACAATGATACAATCGAAGAAGATCAAGAAAAAGTAGAAGCAATGGCAAACTACTTCTCCCAAGTCTTCACTCAGGAGTCATCACTGCCTATAGGATCAGCTCTGGCTGCATCAGAAGAACATGGGATAGATTCCGTTGACATCAACCAAGGCATCGTGCTCAACTGCCTAAGGAAACTAGATGCAGGGAAATCAATGGGTCCTGATAATCTTCATCCAAGGCTTCTCAAGGAGCTATCAGCCCACATAGCCGGCCCTTTGACTACGATCTTCAAGCTTTCTCTCCTAAATGGAGTGTTACCGTGTGACTGGAAAGACGCCATAGTAACCCTCATCCACAAAGGAGGATCAAGACAAAGCCCTTCAAATTACAGGCCTATCAGTCTCACCAGCACTTTAATCAAGACACTGAATAGAATCATCGAGAAAAGCATTATGGCATATCTAGAAAATAGAAGCTTATTATCTAGAGCACAGCATGGCTTCCGAAGGAACCTTTCATGCCTGTCAAATCTTCTCACTGCAAGAGAAAGCTGGGTCAAATCCAGGGACAACAGAAGACCCATTGACGTCGTCTTCATAGACTTCAGCAAAGCCTTTGATAAAGTACTTCACAAAAGACTACTCATGAAGTTGGAAAGTCTTGGTATCAAAGGCAGCTTACTAAACTGGCTCAGGGAATTCCTCATAGATAGGAGGCAGAGGGTTAGGATCAACTCGAAACTCTCCTCTTGGACAGCAGTACGCAGCGGAGTGCCACAAGGCACGGTACTCGGACCTCTCCTATTTATTTTGTATATCAATGGGTTATCTCTGCTCACCGACTCCCCTATGGTCCTATACGCAGATGACTTAAAAATTTGGAGAGAGCTGAAGGGCAACAGTGACACGTCCACGTTGCAAGAGGACCTCAACAAATTGTCAGAGTGGTCCATAGAATGGATGCTCCCGATCAATGTGGCAAAATGCGCATTGGACAAGCAAGCACGAACTCCTACGAACTAGAGGGAATAACACTCCCATCAGTTCAGACTCACTTGGACTTATGTGTCATAGTTAGCCACGACTTAAAAACCACAGCACACTGCCGCGCGGTGGCTGCACGTAGTTTCACGTCATTATGGGCAATTCGAAGAGCCTTCACTAGAATCACCAGAGATATGTTCACCTCCTTATATACATCTCTGGTGAGGTCAAGACTGGAAAACTGCATCCAGGCCGCCAGCCCTTGTCTAAAAGGGAACTCGCACATTCTAGAAAGGGTTCAAAGGAAGGCAACACGTATGGTTCCCGGAATGACTAATTTATCATACGAATAAAGACTAGACAGTTTAAATCTCTTCTCCTTGTCATACCGTAGGCAGAGAGGAGATTTAATCACAATGTTTAAAATTTTAAATAATGACTACGGACCTGACCTATTTTCTCTTTTCCTTCCCACCAGGTCGGAACACCTTACAGGACATAGCAGGAGAGTTCAAAAGCCAAGAAGAAATCATATTGCTGTTGAGTAATGGTTCTCACATCGAGTCATAAACTCTTGGAACCGACTCCCAGAAGAAGTGGTGTCTGCAACCTCAACTGATTCGTTCAAGAAGGGTTTGCACAACCACAGAAATTTACTAGAAAAGGATTAACATAGGCTCCAAGCCTTCTATCCTCAACCAATACATCTGAATCTGAATATAACGAAAATCGATTACCTTCCACATACACCACCGCCTCTGTCTCCCTCTCACTTGAACGACTCCTAGGACGTGAACAACGCCTCCACCTTTCTTCGCTCTGATTCAGTCCATGTCTTCTCCGACCATATCGATCTCTCTCCTCTCCATCGTCTTCATGCCGATCTCCATACACATCTCTTCCGCAGTAATCAGGATAGTAGTGGCCATCCCAATGTTCCCTTGAAAGCTCATATGTAACACTACGAGCTCCATATCCGTAGTGCAAACTTGAGCGGGGACGTCTCTCGTAGTCTGTAAAAGTAAGGGAAGTTATGAATATGGTATATTATCAACAGAATCTCGCGGTAATGCGCAGTGACTAAACCTCACATTCTCATATCACGTTGGAGGTAATAAGGTGTTTTAGGATACAATCTCTTAGCGGTAGATTGAAATAAATAATTAGTCAGCCTGTTAAATCACTCAAGCTTGTGGTCAAGTATGCTCCAGTCCGGCAAAGTACACAGCTCGGACTAGCTACCAGTGTCTTCGTTAACTGATGTCTCGTCTTGGGTTCGGCAACTTTCTCTCATTCAGTTCATATTTCACCCTCCTCGATTAAAGCAAGTTGATTAGGTAGCTATGTGTTGTAACACATCCTCCAATCACATCAGACTATGAAAGGCTCGTAACTACCGTTGTTTAGGAGTAGGTTTAGCGTTGCCAACGTGGTAGTTCAACGTCATCATCTATTTGACACTTTCAACAGTTGTAATCAACTCAACAAATCAAAGATACAAGTCATCCTACTCTACTTTAGAAACTAAAACTGACATAACTTTAAGTACGCAATCACACTACACTCAGAAGTCATTCGATACTCTTGACTAACGACATGTCAACAAGAAATCTGATTTAAGAGCTGTAAAATTCTCAAAGGCAATTCAATCCTGTATGTGTTTTAGATGCAGCAAACATCGGTGATTAACTAGGGTCTTCACGTTTTGGTTAAGGAGGCTTCTATAACTCCTTCAACAAAAGGTGTAGACAATGTAAGTTTTAAAATATAATGAATGACGCTTTATACAACCAGATACGTGAACTATCTCGCGAACTCAAATCGCTAGCGCAGTTTCCACACACCCACAGCTTCAATGTGGCCTACATTTTTTCACAAGTAGGTTTCTTTATCAACAAACTGAGTTTGAACATGGGACTGAGCACAGCCCTTCAGCAGTTCAAGTTGCCACACTCCACGTAGCAAACAAAGCTAGACAAGAGAGAAAAAATAAAGAGGTACGAGGGAATACAGTTAACGGAAGTTTGAGTAAAAATGGAATAGTAGCACGGCTTAACGGATATGGAAGTCAATGCCTCTGTGTTACTGAGGACGACCATGTGCCATACAACAAATAGTCTCCAGGCATGGCTTCTTAGCATCCCGAGCATCTCAACCAGGCGGATTGTATTTCCCTACGTGGCTAGCTCAAACCAACTGTCTAAGACTTCATCGAATGCTCTCAGGTTTTGGTCTGACTACCCCTAACTCTTTCCCCAACCTAATCCCATACCGGCTAACATAGCTCGTCCAGGAAGGCGATCGACAGCTAAGCATGACGTTTCCACCACAAATAACATGAGTTGGCAAACGCCACACCAGCCTCTTATGTCTGTGCTGACGCAGGTTTACCAGGAAAGCCTACACGCTATTAAATGCTAACAGGATAGTATCTGAACAAGAACCGATGCTTAGTGGAATCCCTTTCAGGACTTCTTAATGAACTCGTCCGTCCATTTGAAAAAGAACTACCATTTTGACATTATCCATCGACAACAAGCTATGGAGGACAACCCACAACAGAAAACGTAGATGAGCGCTTCAGCTCAATTCCGAGGAAATGACACTATGTTCTAGGTTGAGTATTCTACTTTCAGCGGATGACATTAAAATAAAAACACCACAAAAATCAGGAAACATATTATAAACATGAGTGACTGTCCAGAACTAAGTCGAAAGTTATTGTTAAAGGAGAAAATAATAGGAACAGCCAGAAGAAACATGTGCAACACTAACCTCTTGGCATTTGGAACACAAAACTCCAAGTATGCGGGAAGTCAAGAACGTTCTAGTCCTCGAAAGGCAATCGACTAAACAAGTGGTCACTCAATCCAATATCCAATGTCCAATATCGTTTTTACGAGCTAGTATAAACCAATTTGATTTCTTTGTGCTCGCCTCTTGATTATGAGGAATGGGTTCCTGATCTTCGGTAAACTTCTGCGTAGCTCGTCCCACCACTCGACTGTCGTAGCTTTGGTTGACTCCAAAAGGAGTTGTGCTGGGATTAATTACATATGGTTTGTGGTATGATGTGTGTTAAGACTGTTACTACTGTGAATGGAGTTGATCCTTTCACCAGTCAGTAATGCGGTATCGTCGTCAAAACAAAAGAGATAATAATGTTAATAATAATGATAGACATACTCAGTGAAGTTATTCAGACCAACAGACAGAAAAAGAAATAAGGAAAACGTAACAACAGTCAGCTGATTAAATTTGAGGTTGATATATGCATATATATCGGTAGTAATAATAATACTAATAATAAGCGTAGTTAAAGTTGTCAGGAGAGTAAGACGGGAGAGAATGTAAAGAAGTAAAACGCCGAACTTAGTTGTCTACCCCTGAATGGTGTATGGGATTTCAAGGGGATAGGCCATTTGGACGAAGTCCTTGTGTCGCTTAAGGGCGTCCACAGACGGTGCCATAACTACATCCGCCGGTAAGGAATTCCAAGGACGGCAAACCCGCAGGGAAAAGAAGTGGGAGCGCACTCGGGTCCTTGCCCTCTGGCGAGCTATCCTTCTGGGATTTCCACGAGGAAGCCTATACCTACTCAATGACAGAACACCTCTGTTTGGGTGATTCTGATCATTTGTTATTTTGTAGGCAGTAATCAAATCCCCCCTAAGCCGGTGGTAGCTAAGTGTGAATACACCTCATTTCTTTAGTCTTTAATCATATGGTTTGTTTCGGAGACCAACCACTGCTTTTCTTGCCCGTCTTTGGACTCATTCATAGACATTGGCGTCTCTTCTAAGCAGTGGGGGTGCAATGATATTCGGAACTTCAAGATGCGGTCTGACATATGTTTTGTACAATCTCAGAAAGAGGTCAGGAGTGAGTGCACCTAACTGTCTATGTGTAAAGTGTACGACCGCATATGCCCTCGCTACATCCCCCATGTAATTTGCGCTTGTGTCCATATTCTCCGTTAGAACTAGACCTAAGTCACGTTCCGACGTTGAGCAGGACAAGCTTTCATTTCACAGGGTGTAACTTGCATTCTGCAGTCTACAGGTGCGTAACTTCACTACTTTGCACTTTTTCTGGTTGAAAGTCATACCCAGTCTTCCAGAAGCTTTAGATCTTACGGCAGTCTATCTGAGTCTTCTGGACAATTTACTGCCCTCCACATCTGTACGTCATCAGCGTATAGAAGCGTCGGGCAGCTTAGACGACATGGTGGGTCATTGATAAAAATCAAGAACATCAGTGGTCCCAGGATAGAACCCTGCGACACTCCTGATGACGAGCTGTGCCAAGATGGTCGGACTCGATTGACCTTGGTGCAAAATTTCCTCTCAGCTAGGTAGTCCTTCAACAGTGACAGAAGTGGTTTACCTAAACCTACCTGGCTTATTTTGTGTAGGAGAAGGTCATGGTGAACAGTGTCAAATGCCTTCTCAAAGTCTAGGAAGACCACATGGACTGGAACATCCATATCCCAGCATGATGTCCAGTCGTCCCAAGCTGATAATAAGTTAGTGACGCAGGATCTCCCTTTCCTGAAACCGTGTTGGGCTTCATGGAGTATTTTAGACCTATCCAGATATTCCCCGATGTGATCATCAATAATACTTTCCAGTACTTTCGATACCACTGGGAGTAGATCTACTGGTCTATAACTGGTGGGATTTTGCCTATCCTCACCCTTGAAGATCGGAGAAAGGATGCTTCTTTTCCATTCCTTTGGCAGTTTCCCCGATTCCATGGAGTGTTGGAACAAGTCGCATAAAGGCTAACAGAGAGCTTCGGCGCACTGTTTCAGAACAGATGGCCTGATGTCATCACAACCTGGGGACTTCCCAGGTATGAGTCGCTGCAGCTTTCTCAGTACTATTGCAGGGTTTATTTGGGGGGTGGCTATTTGGTCTTCCTCCTGTGAAATAGTCATGCCACCATTTTTTTCCGTAATGGTAATACCCACATTGCTGTTTAGCTGTTTGGCGAAGGCTAAACTGAATGTTTCAGTTATCTCCAGACTAGTGAGATATTGACCGTTTTGGCCTACTAAGGCGCATGCCCCCTGGTTGGTTGGTTTCCTTTCCGACATCAATCGGTACAAATTCTTCGGGTTTGCCAGGAGTGTTTTAGCAAGGTTAGCCTGGAATGACCTTCTGTCCCTTCTGACTCTTGCATTGCACCGGTTCCTGAGTTCCAGGTATGCATCATGGTCGATCTGGCTTTTAGATACGCGCCACGTAAACCAAGCCTTCCGCTTTGCTTGCAGAATACGCTGCGTGCCTCACTTTAGCCATGATGACTTTCTTTTGGGCTGTGCTGTGACTAAAGGGACGGTATCCGAGATTACTGTATGAATAATCTTTTTTACCGCTTCCCAGTGTTCATCCACAGACAGCTCATCCCATGCTAAGGGTCAGTCTGCATCGGACAGGGGCCTCCGCATTTCAGCATAGTCAGCCTTGCTGTAACACAGACATGGTTGGGTAACGTCCCACTGCAAGTGCTCACGGAGAACGAGGTCGAAACCTATGACTGCATGGTCACTACTTCCTAGAGGAGTCATGATCTGGACCTTCTCGACGAGTAGTTGGTCACTAGTTAGAATGTAGTCTAGTTTTGATGACTTTCCACTAGGGCCCCACCTAGTGTCGTTTCCAACGTTCTCAGTCGGTCCCGTGTTCCGAATAGCTTGCAGTAGATTTCGGCCGAATTTTCCCTTAGCATACCTCGAGCCAAGGTTCAGTGATGGGGCATTGAAATCTCCAGCAATGGTGATTTGGTCATAGCCCAAGTCTCGTATCCCTGTGATAGTGCTGAGCAGTAGCTGATTGTGCTCTGCCCAACAGGTGGGAGATCGGTAGATGCCACCAAGTAAATGATTGGTGTGGCCTACGGTGAAATGACACCATATGGAGTCTGGGAGTTCAATAAGTGGTGGGTCCGTTGCGCGCACACATTGAAGTTGTCTATCAAAGTATATAGCAACTACCCCTCCTTACGTATTATCCCTGTCTCTCCTGACCAGAACCATATCACCTATACCGATTTCGTTGTCAGCAATAGTGAGGGTTAGCCATGTTTCGGTGAGAATGATCATTTTCAGTTGTAGGTGTGCTTGGAGATTTCTGAGTTCGCCTACTTTTCCTCTCAGTCCTCTCACATTGCTATATAGGCAGCTGACAGTGAGTCTTACAACCTCAGCGTGTTGTGGGGCAGTTGACGTGAAGCTGTATGCTGGTAGGGGACTTAATGTTGGGACTAGTTGGCCAGTTCCGATGGAACCGGCCCGTTGTGGTTTTTTCCCATGGATTTAAGCAGGACACTTGGGTGACACAGACTTTTATTCTCAGAACTGCATCGCTCTAGTGTCAATGAGGCTTGGGGACGTATTAAAGCCTCCGTTTGCTGCCTCCTTATGGTTCGAGGTCTGCTTTCGCAGCATCGGATGTGTCCTCCCAATTTCCCTTGATCTCATACCACCGTTGAAATGCTATGGCCAACTGCTCTGGGGAGTTGAATGTGACACTTAGCAGCTTTGGGGAGCTAATCAGTGTGAGATGAGTGGGGCGAGGTAGTCGGTAAACGGATATAGCTCCAGAAGCGCCAAGGGCCATCTGAGACGACAGCCATCTCCACTGCTGTACGTCATGCATGTGTTTTTCACAGGCAGTGCCCGTTTCCAGCTCCGGAACACCGTGTACCACCATAGAGGTAGAAGGCAAAAGTTCCGGTGACTCCCTCGCCATTTGTCTGACAGCCCGTGGTCTGTCTTGTCACACCCCTATGTTCGAGCTTCTGTCGATGGCTAGTACCTGAGCCATCAATAGTACCTTTTCGGCCTCTTCGGCAGAGTCCAGTGTAACCCGTAATGGGGGTGGCTTACCTTGAGGTGTGTGGACACCCCTGTACAGCCTGCACAATTTCACTGAATTAATATTCAGACCTAGTTTATTGCACAGGTTGGACCACTGTTCCTGATTAAACAGGGCCCGCTGTTCAAGCAAGCTGTCCTTGCTCACAGGTACGTTAAAGAGGATGAGCGAATTAGAACGATTAACCTCAGACTTAGGTTTGGCCTTTGGCTTCTCGTATTCCTTTGCAGCATCAGAAACTTTAGGCTTCATCGGGTTCTGGCCAGCCTTTATTGTGTTGCCAAGCTTGCTTGTGGATGCAAGTGGTGCTTCTCTAATTCTATCTTTCCTTGATGTTTTAGGTCCAACCTTGTGAATCCTCACCTTGTGAAAATTGGCATTTTCAGTCAGTAGGACTGGAGTGTCCTTCTTACTGTCTGTGCCAAGTTTTGGCAATGTGATGTTTGCAGGTGGGGAGCTACATAAGACCGTGTTGGAACACAAGGGCGGCGTGTTGTTTCTGCTATCCGCAGACACGCTCTGTGTGACTACACCAGGGCGACAAAGGGGACAGATGTACCAAAACCACGGGCACGGGTTATTTCTCATAAACTCGTAGTATGCTTTCGGCACCTCTTTGTCGCAACGGCAGTGCACCCACCGTTTGCAAAAATTGCATTCGAACGCTTAGTCAGCTTTAGAAACAATGATATTGCACGCCTGGCATTCGTCTCCCTTACCTGGTGACGCCTTTGAGGTCTTATGACGTCTTGAGCGTTTCCTTTTAGGTTTGTTGTACTTCACACACTGGCTTTCGGTTGATGCAGGTGTAGTATCCTGTCCCCCTAGTATTACCTGTGCCGTTTCAGTACTAGACTGTGGCAATGCGGGCGTAGTATCAGGACAGACGAGTCCTACACGAGTCTTTAGGATGGGTATGCGACTTGGGGTTGGTGTCCCTGAGTTTTTGCCTTCTCTGGCT